CCCCAAAACCCCAAAACCCCAAAACCCCAAAACCCCTAATAAATTATAAATATTGAAAATTTTAAACACAAATTTAGTGGCAACTTACTTACTCATCTTAAGGTTTTATCAAGGGAATCGCGATATATTATAAACATCATGATAGTATAATTTGACAAGTTTTCAACTTTGTGTCACCAGTAATTTCTAATTCATCTTTTAGGTACCTAAATCTCACTGAGATTGCCTTACCTCCACACTCCATTGGTTGATTTCCTTCCTTTATGTCCATCCTTAATGATCCATTTACCATCAGCAACTTTAAGAGAACATTGAATTCTTGAGAGAAGCCTATCATCTACTCTTATCTGACATTTCTCGCTTCTTCCAACCAAGACAACATCATTATCTGAGTCGAACAAGTAGTCACTAGACTCATTTCCTTCCTTGAATATTTTAACACTCAAATTTGGAACTTCTGGAAATTTTCTAACTGGATTGACTGCATTAGGAGAGCTCTCAACACTCTGTGGTTCATCTGACCTTTCTGACTCTTCTTTGGGTCATAATCCCAACACCATATATGACTGCCCAAGATTGATCAGGACTGAATTCGAGTCAGAAAAATCCTCATTTTGAAAAATTGGTGTTCCTTCTCCAACTATTTGAGCAAACAAGCCATACCCAATGCCCAAATCACGAGCATAGTACTTCTTGGTGTCCTGATCGTATCGAATGTAGAAATGACGTCCAATGATACTGCTTTCATCCTCTGGATTTTTGGAAGGCAGCAAGAAGTCAACCATCTGGGTTTCCTCCTCCCCTGTGTTAAAATAGATCTTTGCAAAAGAAGAGTTGTTCTTGTTAGAACTCAATATGCTCTTATTCTTCTCACTGGTCCCATCGCTCATATGGGAGTACATCTTCTGATACTTCTCTTGGCGATTTGATGAATAATTCTTATCATTCTGTATCGTTGGGAGGTAATCAGAGTTTTCTAAGCTGACTCACACGTATTTCGGCTGATTATACCCAAAGTATACATAGCCGTCTTTTTGATTACGAAGGTTGTAGTACCGATTGGCGTCCTCCAATTTCATAGCAAAAGGATAATTCTCATCAAGACCCAAATGATCAATATTTATCTCAAGGCCTTTATTTAAAAATATCGCTGATTGATGAAATAACCCGCAATGTTAGCCCAATTCCAGTTTTCTTACCAGAAGGAGAGACTTGGAAGCTCTTTTTTGGAGGAATCTTTTGGATAGATTTTTCCGGGCTCTTCTTCTCATCTTTCATAAATTTAGAAACTAGCTCAAAATTTAAATCCCTCTCATCATAATTCCGGAGCTTAGAATTCTTATTTAATAATGGATCCTTCAGTTTTAAGCTGTATGTGATCACAGAAGCCTACCTCGGGGTTTTGGGAAATTACAGAGTTGTAGATATCAACAGTGCGGTCACATTCAAGATCAGAAGCATCTCCTGGAACATTATTCCGAGACATTTTACCCTTACCTTCTTCTATGATCTCTGTCTCTTTATCTGCGTTATATTGCTGGTTAAACCCTAAAATAGCAAATAACAAATCTTTTTAGTTTTGGCTTATAACTTAAAATTTACCTCAAAGGTTTATAAATTTTTTGAGAAAAGAGTACATAAATTTTTATTGCTTTAGATATTTTAGAAACCTAAATACATCTCCTAATCAGAGCTATTAGTATGGATTTATAAGAAGAATAAGAAAAATAGGCTCCTAACACAAAAGTTAAATTTTGATATCCATCCAAAAAATCCCTGAAATACCTAACCAATCCCCTCGATCCCCATGCGCTAACAAGAGTTACCTCATCAAAGCTTTCCGATCACTTGGCCCTACATATAACTCCCTAAAAATTACTCCTGAAGGATTAGCTCCCATAATGTCAATTAAATTTAATAAAAATGGGGTTTTGGGGTTTTGGGGTTTTGGGGTTTTGGGGTTTTGGGG